TATCCGACCTCAATATTTTATTGATTTTCAACCTTTGTTTTAATTTTTTTTTAAAAGATCAATACTGAAGATTTTTTCGAGATTAAATATATATAAGTGAGACGTGAGAAATCGTCTATGAAGGTCACAAAATAAACTTTTCCACAGAGTGTCCTCGTGGGAAAGGGTCCACAGACATCTAAATGGATTATTTCCAAAAGTTTTTGACTTCTAATTGAACTCTTCTTCTTTGAAATTGTTAATTTTCCTTTATAAAAATCAATACAATCTGTTAGGTCATTGAAGTCCAAAGGTGGAAAAATTTCATCTTTAATTAAACGCTCCATTGTTGCCCTACAAATATGACCTAATCTTCTCTGCCAAAGCATGGAAGAAGTTTCATTTGAAATCAATCTCTTTGCTAGCAATGTCGAATCATTATTTAAGCAATCCACGATCATTAAAAATTGTACATAGAAATTGCCAAAGGTCATTGACCAAAACAAAAATTCTAATTATATTACGTGGATTATTTTTAAAGAAAATCTTAACATTTGTCACCAGCAAAAGCAAAGCCAGATTTAACAAGCTGAGAAACTGAAATTAAACTCCTTAAAAAAGGTACATAAGTACATCACACAAATCCAAAATAAAACCACTAGACAGCCTCAACCTTAGATTGCCTATTGCTTTCACTACCACTTTACTCCCATTGCCAACAAAGACTTGAAAAACTTCATTTTTTGTTGTTGTAGTTCTTCTTGTAAACCCTAGCAAGGAATTGGTGATGTGAACCGAGCAACCAGTGTCAAACCACCAAGAATTTGGAAGGATTTCTACAAGATTAGTTTCAAAACAAACAAAAATATTGACAAAATTCATACCATTCTTAATTTTCCAACTTTCTTTTCTCAAAATCTCTCTTCATTTGTCCAAGTTTTTTTGCAAAAGTAGCATTTGATATTGTCTATATAATCCTTATTTGACTCAGGTCCTTTGGAGGAGGATGCAACTATGGCAGTCTTAGAGAAAAGATTAGGTTTAGAGAATTTACCAAATTGATATGTAGCCCTTTTACCCTTATCTCCATAAACCAAGTTCACAGTGCCATAAATCTTATTCCTTTTGATTCTTGCTTCTTCTTATACACATATAGAGATTCGTTCATCGAGAGTCCACTTTTCCTTCTGAGTGTTGTAAGAAACCTTTGATTGATCAAACTTTGAAGGTAGAGAGTTGAGCACCATATACACAATAAATGCATCATCCACAGAGACCTCCAAGTCTTTGAGTTTGGCTGCAGTTTCCACCAATTTCAAGATGTGTTCCTTAACGCTCTTATTCTTATCGAGCTTGAGTATTGTCAGGGTTGTCATCAGGTCCCATTTCAGCTTTTTCAAACTCTCTATAATTTGCCCCAACTGCCTCCAAGAAATCTTTAGCCTTATCACATGTTGCAATGCCATCTCTCACAGTATCACTCATGGTTCATTTCATAACCATAAGTGACATTCGGTTAACTTTCTCCCATTTTTTAGTTTTCAGTCTTTGATCCGCAGTTGAATCCTCAGTCACAGCTGCAAGTTCATCTTCACACAAGGCCAAGTCAAGGTCAATCAGCCCTAAGACAATTTCAATGTCTTGCTTCCACCTCTTGAAGTTCCCCCCACTTAGTGGCTCAAAAGAGGACAGGTTCATTGCAAAAGTGTTCATTAAGGAAGCCATTAAAACAAAATTAGGGTTAAATATGTGAACGCATGTTTTTCATCACACCTTTGGGCAAGAGATGAAAACTGCCATTGACCTTTATTGTATAGCCATCACTAACGGATCTTATCATGCAATTATGTTAAGTCTTTGGAAAAGAATATGGCCTAATCAAAATGATGCCATACACTAATTAAAAACAATCAACAATTTATATAGTCTCCTCTTTGGAAAAGAATGTGAACATTTCATAGATTTTTGAATCACAATGCTTTTTAAGTAAACCTTCATCTTTCATTGAAAGCCATGATTAGTTCATATACAACGCATAAACTCCAAAATTTATTCCATGAAATAACAAAAATATGATAAACAAAGTAAATGAGTTTTAAGAATTCCAGATACAAAGAATTAGATTTTCCATATTATAGACCAAGGCTTAGAACCTATTAATTTGTCTTTGATACCAAATGTTGGAATATTAGTATAAACAAAACCTCTAATCACATGCATATTTGTATTTAGTTAGAGTCGAACCTGAAGAAGCCATGGATGTAACTTAAGCAGTTTCTTCTACTCACTTGAAGACCTTATATTCTTATGGTGATAGAACCCTCGTATTTAGAATGTGTTCTTTGTGAGTAGGGAACCCTTGTATATATAGAAGCAATGGTTGCCAACATCCATCTATCGTGGAAGGTTGGTTATTCATCCATTGCTCTAAGTGCCAATAGTGGTTTAGTGGTTGTGGAACGTGCTTTTCAACAGCAATTGGAATCATATTCCTTAGTTATAGGGGAGCTAGTATTACACGTACACAAACTCTTAGTTAATTTGTTTAAGCAACATATTATTTCACCTTTATCATAATTAGTTTAGTCCACATAGGATTTCTATAGCTTGTGCATTTCAATCGGCATCATCCTTCCACTCCCGGTAATGCCTCTTGAATATGTCATCGATGAAATTCATCAAGTTAGGGCCGGTTTCATCAATAATAAAATTAACCTGTTATACAAAAATATTAAAATATTAAACATTATATATTGTATATCAAAAATAATTATTAAATTACTAATTGGCACTTGCTGATAACTTGTCCAACGAAGACTTCTTCATATCCTCTGACACTTTTTTCCAAGACGCCCACTCTGTAGGACATTTGTTCCTCAATAATGCCACTATGCCGTGCACAAGCATGGCGTGCGTCTCCTTGTCATATTCCTTAAGCTGTAGATTCGCCTTGGCCCGTCAATCCTTCTGGCTCAGCCATACATCCTCTTTTGTGTTTCTCTACGGAAAAAACAAAGTTTTCAAAATCAAACTAAGTAGTTTGTCACTTTTATTATAATAATCTAGTAATTTTTTTTCAACAACAAAAAAAACCATAAAATTCATGCAAAATTTGGTATTACCTGTCCGAGATCCTTCTCCCTCATATCCCTATTGAGTTTGGGTAGTAGCAGAATTAAACATCTACAACATTATGATTTTCATATATTCCAAGACTCACAACTTATGAGACACAATTTATAAATTAAAATTAATTATTGAAACAAAATTGTTCTTTATTTGTATAATAAAGATTTACCATGAAAAACGAAGATTGTCGACAGAAAAAGTCATAGAAAAGGGAAATGAGAATTAGGATATGAGGGGTTTGGGAGAGAAGAAAATGAGGGGGTGAGGGATTTGGGAAAAAGGATGAGGAAGATAATGAGGAAAAGGGAGAGCGGATATGTAATTTTATAGAACCTATGAACCCTTTGCTTGACAAAGCACTCATTGCGCAAATAATGACTCCACCTTAAATGTCTCACCGACCACACCTACCATTTCAAAGAACTTTACACAACGAAAGACTCATGTTCGTCACGTAGGTTTGACACAACAAAGTTCTCTCTCATGCAAAAAATGTTTGCCCCGCACTATAATGGCGCCAAATCTTCATCTAACCGTGTTTTTCTCCAGAGATTGCACGAAGAATTATCTAATTCGTTGTGCAAAGCCTTCTTGCGCAACGAAAATCTTTGTCACCTAATGTTTTCAATTATTTTCATGGCCTTGACATTTTTCCGCGATGATACCCTTAATTTGTCACACAAAGGACATTTTGCGATGAAAACTACTTCACTACCTAAAGTTTTATCGCACAAATAGTTTTTTTTTTCCTAGTTGTGTTGGTTTTTCCTGTCTTCCCTATTTTATGGTTTACTGGTGAAATTGCATGTATTTTACATCTATATATACCACTATTTACCACTACGAGTGGCTACTGGTTAGTACTGTTTTTTTTTTTTTTTTTTTTTTTTTTTTTTTTTTTTTTTTTTTTTTTTTTTTTTTTGGCTACGTTTTGTTTCATAGGATGACTCGGAAGCGTTGATTTAAGGCCCTTTATTACGTCTTGTTCTTGCTTTTTTCATTATTCATTACATATCATCAGCAATAATGTGGTGCTTGATATCATGTTTGTTGTCATACTTTTCTAACAAGTACTCATCCAAAACCAAAATATAGGGAACAAGCATAGAGAATCAAGCAAACTGCAGTCCAAGGTACTTAGTTTTTTATTGGAGCAATCACTTTAATTGAAATGAATATTTGGAGAAATCTTTCCATCTTCAAAATATAAGCTTTAGGTTTTCTGTTTGTTTTTCCAGAAACCACATGAGGAATAAGAATTTTGTTTCCCATGCCATCAAGAGACATGATGTAATGATGTTTTACTTGGTCTGGGAAGGAAACGAAAAACGGAATTGGCCTTAGTTAAAACTTAAAACGAGAGCATACACAATATGGACAAGTCACCCTCGTCCTGTCTGCTGAATGTGCTCTTGTTTGATGGTTGCTTCTTATTGAATATACTTTTGACGATCTAATCTCGCTTCTGGTGTTTTTCTATATCGGAGAGGACAGAAGTAATTTCATTTGGCCAAAATTTGTTTGGGGGTCATAGATTTGCGGCTGATGGACATTCTGTAGAGTTGGGTTGCACTAGGCTCCAAGATTCCCCTGGTGGTTAGGGTATCCATTACTGATTCAGCAAATACCCAATTGTCATACGTTTCAACTGTTTATTTATTTCCGGTAAAAAAGTATATATGCAGTTTTCCTTGTTTGTGCTTCCTTCAATTTCCCTTAAAAAAGTATAAATACATTGGTACCGTAAGTACATTGGTACTGTTCTCATTCGGTCCAACTTAGCAAATTATTTGGTTTTTGACAATGTGGCGTTGCAATGCTTATAACATAGGATAACATAAAAACACAAAATACTTCTATATTAATGAGCCAGGGGCTCATTTATATTTGTTCTACTGGCAGTTCTTACTAGATGGAGGATGATAAGGAATGGGGATCAAGCGCAGATCTTCTTTTCTTCGAACTGTAACACCGAAAAGCTCAGTCATGTCCAGCTCTTCATGCGACTTCCCATCAGGGAGTTCCCAATCAAAATGGTACAAAAAAAGGGCAAGTGGGAGCTCAACGTTGGCCAGACCATATGAAATTCCTGGGCATATCCTCCTTCCAGCACCAAATGGGATATACTCAAAGTTTGTTCCCTTGTAGTCAATGGAGCTATCAAGGAACCTCTCTGGATAGAAGCTCTCTGGTTCAGTCCAGTAATTCGGATCTCTTCCAATTGCCCATCCATTCACAATCACCTTGGTTTTGACAGGTATATCATATCCATTAATCTTACAACTCTCACTAGATTCTCTTGGAAGCAAGAGGGGAGCAGGAGGGTGTAGCCTGAGTGTCTCTTTGATCACAAAGCTTAAATATTTCATCTCTCTAATGCCTGTTTCGTCTACCTTCCCATTTCTGTTATACACTTCTCTCACCTCATCCTGTGTCATTTTCAATATTCTAGGATTTTTTATCATTTCTGACATGGCCCAATCTACGGTTGTAGCTGATGTCTCACTCCCAGCTGCGAAGATGTCCTGCACAAAAATTATAAATTTGTTAATGATTAAACTAGGTTTTTCTCTAAAATTGCAAACAGTTCTAGTCGTGGAAAATAACTATGTTCTTAGAAAAACTTTTGTATTAAGTTCAATTTTTAATAGCGTTAATTTCATGAAGAGTGTCAATTGATATGTAAGAAAAACAATAAGCACATTTAGAATGAATTATGGAATTCCAAACCAGCCGAAAAGGTAATCTGCATCGATAGTATTCTTTGTGTTAAAAACAGTGGCTACAGGTGACAGCCGGTTGGGAAGAAAAACATACATGTAGGTGGATTCAGCCTTAGACAGTGGCACCAGTGCTTAAAAGATGCATCTCTAATCATTTATTTTGTATATTTAGAACAAGAATGAAAATTGGTGTTTAGATTGAATATAATTAACAACTAGTTTGAATTATTAAAGTGATATCAAAAGAAAGTGCAAACACATACCAATATTACTGCTTTGATGTTGTCAGTAGTTAAGGAAAACTCAAGGCCATTTCCATGCTCGTGAAATTTTAAGAGAACGTCGACCAGGTCTTCCCCTGCTTCACCTTCTCCACTTTTTGTTGTTGACCTTTTCTTTTTATGTTCGTTGATGATATTTTCCATTATTCTGTCAGTCACTTTTTTCAGCCGCTCGAGTGTAGGCCTAATTCCACCCATCAGATTAAGCAGCTTGGCAGAAGGAAAAACATCTGCAAGATCAAAGCCTGCTGCCACCGTTATAGACTCCTTCACAGCATCTATGAACTTTTCGTGATCTTCGCATTTTTTGCCAAAGGCTGCTCGCGACGTGAAGGTATACGTAGATGAGTAAATTTTCTCAGTGAGGTTGATCAGTAATCCTGCGTTTGAACCAATCCATGTAATGAGATTCCCCACCTCTTCTTCCCTAAGAGACCTGAAGCCTTGCACACGTTTAGTGCTTAAAAGCTCTAACGTGCAAATTTTTCGTAGTTGTCTCCAGTAATCACCACATGGTGCAAAGGCAATGTTTGTGGCTTCATAAGACATGATCCTTGAAGCAAGGAGATAGGGCCTTGATGAAAACACAACGTCATGGGTTTTCATCACCTCTTTGGCATACTCTGCCGAAGAAACAACAACGGTGGAAACTTCTCCAAGTTGTAGATGCATAATGGGCCCATATTTCTTGGCTAAGTTTCGTAGCCCATGATGAGGCTGAGACCCAACAAGCTGGTGAATGTTTCCTATAAAGGGAAGCTTCCATGGCCCTGGAGGTAGATTCACAGCCGACTCTTTGGTTTTGCTTCTCTTCGCTATTTTCAGTACTGTGATCACAACGAGAAGAAAGGTAAACAGGACTTGGAAGAAAGGCCATTGAAGCTCCATAAGGAAAGAAAGTTTGGAAGTAGCTTGTTGATTAAATTGCACGCATTATATCTCTCTTTATAGCAGAGGATGTAGTCTCTTACCTGATGCATAGATTCCCTTAACCCGGCCGGCATAATTTGTCCTTTTATTTTGTGTTTATATATGTAAAGCGTTTTATCATAAATAATGTTTGACATTGACCAAATTTCTCATTTTGGTATTTAAAATTCAAAATCAACCAATGTTAAGTGCCACAAATTAATCTTGTCATTGCGTTAGAAACCAATATCTAGATGTCAATTGTCATAAACCATATAATATTATCGCTGAGGTTTTACATTGTACTGGCAAAGAAAACAAGAGAGAGTACATAGCAAGATAAAAATAGTATAGAATTCAGCTCCCGGTGAATCCAAGTATTATATTTGTATTGAGGGTCCTTGGAACAATCTCTACTCCAAAGTTACAGACAAAACAAAGGTTTCATAATTAAGAAAGAGAATTGTTATTGGCACTCCAAAAATCTCATTCTACACTCCAAAGTTTCTATATTTGGAAAGAAAAATACACTTGTGAGGAGTGTAGAATGAGATTTTTGGAATTAAACGAGCAAAATTAAAGTTCGATGACTTGAGTGATTGATTATTCACCTTTTTATTTAAACTCCCCAGGTAAGTAAGGTGATTAAGGAGATAGTAATTTTAAGGTATGGTAAATACATTAGGGCCTATTTCATATCCTATTCAAAAAATTTCATCATTCCTCAAAACACTTTTTAAGAACATTTCTTGAAAACAATTTTCTTTAAAATTCAAAAACTTGGTTGCGTTGTGGCTTATTTTATCTAACAGGGGAGAGAAGGGGCGCACGACAGAGAAAGAGAAGGTAGAGATGTGTTTGTAAGGTTGTGTAGAGGATATGTTATTTCCCCTACGTAGTGCCTTTATTTATAGTAATAAGGGAGGGAAGAATCCTTCTCCTCCAAGGAATACAAGTCCTAATAGGGAAGAATAACTATATCAAATCTAATCTAGGATTTACACAATCACACTTACATACAATGTTTATAACACTTCCCCTTGAGTGTGCAAATACTCAAGTAGATTCGACATGATGTAGAGTTGAGGAAGTCGACTCGTCGGCATTGATTCTGGGAACACGATAGTCTCAAAGTAAAGTAGGAACTTGCATATGGAACTAAGTCTCACAAAAAAGCAAAAAAAGAAAACAAAAACAAAAATAAAAATAAAAACAAAAACAAAAAATAAAAATAAAATAAATAAAATAAAAAATAAAAATAACAAAAAAAACCCAATGGCTATGGTAAAACACTAGTAGGGACAAAACCCTAGTATGGGCCACAACTGCTCTCAGCCAGAAGCATTCCCGAGTTGTTTCGTGTAAGGCGAGAATTTCAGCATGGTTAGACCAAGTGGCAACTAAGGTCTGTTTAGTTGACCTCCAAGGGATTACGGTGCCTCCAACAGTAAAGACATAACTCGTTTGAGAAAGCGCCTTGCGCGGATCATATAAGCATCATGCATTGGCATAACCAACAAGGTAGGAATCAACTCGAGATAAGGGGGCATCACATCATTCGAGGATCTGTAGGGATAGAACAAGCCCAAATTCATAGTACCTTTAAGGTAACGAAGATGTCATTAACACCAGTCCAATGTTTGCGTGTCGGTGCATTACTGTATCTTGCCAAAAGATTAACAGTGAAGGAGATGTTGAGTATAGTGCATTGAGCCAAGTCCAAAATCTCTTCATCATCCTCTTTTGGATGGAAGAGATCTCGTTTTGCATCTAGTAATCGAACGACCATAGGAGTACATAAAGGCTTCACTTTATCATCATTAAAGAGGTGCAACACCTTCTGGGTGTAGTTTAATTGATGTACTAAGATTCCATCCGAATGGTGCTATATCTCAAGACCGAGACAGTATCGAGTCTTTCCTAGATCTTTCATCTCAAATTCCGACTTTAGGTGCACGACAGCTCTCTTGAGCTCTTTTGGAGTTCCGATGAGGTTCATGTCGTTGACATAATCTACAACAATTGGCAAAACCGGAATATGACTTCTTAATGAACATGCAAGGGCATAAATCGTTGTTCACATATCCCTGTCTAGTCAAACACATACTCAGATAGTTATACCAAATTCTTCCAAATTGCTTCAAATTGTAGAGTGAACACTTTAGTCGAATTGAGAGCGTGTTTTAAGGTTTGGAAATATTTGATCCGGTCAATGTAAGTCCTTCAAGAACTTTCATATAAAGTTTCGTATCAAGTTCCCCATAAAGATACGCAGTTACTATGTCCATCAGCTGCATACTTAGTTTTTTTTCAGAAACTACCAAACTGATAAGGTAGCGAAAGTAATCAAATCTATAACAGGTGAATAAGTTTCATCATAGTCAATCCCGGGGCGTTGTGAGAAACCTTGCGTAACAAGACGAGCTTTGTAATGCAAAATTTCGTTCTTCTCATTATGCTTCCAAATGAAAACCCATTTGTAGCCAACAGGCTTCACATGTGGAGGAGTAGGAGTTATAGGTCCAAATACCTTACGTCTCATAAATCAATCGAGTTTGACTTGGATTGCTTCTCGACATTCATTAATGGAATGAGGTTCAATGTCATCACTCAACATGATCTCAGTAGCTACTGCATATGCTAATGCATCGTCAATAATCATCTTATTTCTACACTAAACATCATCCAAGCTAGCATAATGGACCCAAATCTATCGATTCTGGAAGGGGAATTCGTCATTTCAAGGACATTTCCATAATCTAGAATTTCCTAATAAGTTGGATAGAATGAGTAGGCGACAATCAGATTCACAGTAGGCTCAATGGTCTGTGTAGTGCCAAGGGTGTGAATCCTTTGAACCAACTAGTCTCCAGCTTTTTGTAGAGGTAGAGGATTAGCTAGATGCTAACGTACATGGATCCACCAAAGTGGCATCCCAGGCCTCCAAGAGGGAATTCCGTCATACATTTGGTACATCCATCTTTGCAAGTATATTTGCAGCTGGAATATGTGATCTTGTCACTTGCACTAGATCTGTGAAAGTATTTGGCAGCTCTAAGCTATGCTTTAAAGATTTAATATTTGCACTTCAGTTTCAGATTGAGTGATGAGGGGATCTAAATGAGACAACGTGGGAGTCGGCCACGATAATTTGAGTCGTTATTTAGGAACGGTGACATTCTTATCTTCCCCTAACGACAAAAAGATTGTCTCATAGAAGTGACAATCCGTGAAACGAGCGGTAGCAAGATCGCCTGCCAAAGGTTTTACGTAACAAACAATTGAATAAAACTGTCTCATAGAAATGACAATCAGTGAAACCAGCAGTAAAAAGATCGCCTACCAAAGGTTCTAAGTAACTAATAATTGAAGGAGAATCATATTTGACATAGACTCTCATCCTTCACTAAGGCCCTATTTTTGTACATAAGGGTGGCGAAATTAGCACATAGACCGCACAACAAAAAGCACGCATATGTGATATGTCGGGTTCATATCTAGTAACAAATTGAAGGTGATATATGGTTGTGTCGCAATAGGCTTCAGGTGGACCAACATGGCTACGAGCAATATTGCATGGCCCCAAGTAGCGATCAGGAGCTTGGTACGATCGAGCAATCATTTGTATGCACTTAATGAATGCCTCTGCTAGGCCGTTCTAGGTGTGAACATGGGCTACTAGATGCTCAAATTCAATCCCAAATGACATGCAATAGTCATCAAAAGTTTTAGATCTGAATTCTCCAACATTATCCAATCGAATAAATTTGATCGGATAATCATGGTACTGAGCCCTGAGCTTGATAACCTAAGTCAACAATTTAGAGAATGCAACGTTCCTTATGGACAACAAGCACATGTTTGACCAATGTGTGAACTTGTCAACCAAAACCATAAAATATCTAAATGGTTTGCAGAGGTTAATCAGTTTACAAATGTCCCCCTGAATCCTTCGTAGAAAAATAAGAGGATTCGAATGAATCTGGTCATAAAAAGACTTAATAATAAGCTTTCCCATATAGCAAGTTTGACACGTGATTCCTTGAATCGAACCTAAACTTTGGTTTAGTGGATGCCCATGTGAAGATTTGAGGATAAGGCGCATCGTTGTTCTTCCAGGTGTCCCAAACGATCATGCCAAAGTGTAATTTTGTGCACAATCCCTGAGGTAGGGCCTGCCACATAGTGGCTCTCTATAAGATGTATGGTTGCACTATACAAACCACTCAGCATACGCTCCATCTTTTCTAAAATACACGTCTGACCATATTCGTAGAAAGTGATCCACAGAAATTCAACACCATTTTCTACATAGGTTTTAGCGTGCTAATTATTATCTTTAATGCCCTTGAAACTCAACAACGTTATTCCTGAATATGGAGAATAAAGTGCATCTTCAATGGTTAAATTGTACCATTGGACAACATTATACGTGCCTTACCGTATCATTCGTTCAGCTTGGATGGGCATACGAGGATTGTCAGAGGTGTATTCCTAAGTATGAACTTAGTGAAATAGATGTATTCATGCAAAACGGTGTGCGTGGTTGCACTATCTACCAGACAGTTAACTTTTCCACTCGTCATACCAAGAAATAAAAATTCATTTGAATCAGTCACATGCATAAAGTTTTAAAACCAAATATCCCTTCAAAATAATTTAAGTATTCAAGGATGGTAATTAAAGAACTTAATATCCAAAAACAAATCACCAACAAATAATCCAAACATAAAGGAAAATTGTTCAAACTTAAACAAAAAAACAAGGGGGGTTTGGCCACTAGATGGAATTCAGCCCCAGGTGTTCTAAAATCAACTAAAAATAGTTCGATGTCTAAAATTCTAATCTTCCATAGGGGTAATAACCTCTTGAAAGTCAGAAACCTCCATCTTAGTACTCTCCGGTTCATCCACTTGCACAAAGTTTGATTCAAACTTCTTATGACGAGAATCCTATTCAGCTATAACCTTCTGGGAGCACAGCAAACACGGGACCAATGGTCCTTTGAACCACAG